ATTTTTTGTGCCAGCAAATTTTTGATTTTATATTTATATAAATAGTTAAAAAACAATTTGCTAAAGTATATTTTATCATAGACATATATAAACAAAATAGTCTTATTTATTGTATAATGCATATTTTATATTTTCTTAAAAAGATTTTATAAATAAAAAATTAATATAATATATAATAAAGTATATAATAATAAATATATAATAAATATATATTAAATATATATAATAAAATAAATTTAAATTCAAATATTAAAAACATAAAAATTTAATATCTTTTTTTAAGAGAATGATATATTTATGATTCATATTTCATTGAAATTTTTGTTCTTCTTGACTTCTAGTTCTTGAATATTATGTTATACAATACAAAAATAATTTCATTTGAAAAATCAAGTTTAAGATATTTTGTCAATTTTGTCACTTTTTTAACAGATTTTTTTAATACTGATTTGAAAGTGACGAATTATCTCTCAAAATCAATACCAAATAATTTTTTACAACTTATATAAGAATTCAATAACATAATATTAAAGGTTTTTTGAAAACAACTCAAAAATTAAAACTATTCACTGATAAAGAAAATTCAAGGTGATGATCTTTGAAATATATTTTAATATCATAATTTTAAGATCAGAAAAATCAGTAAGAAAAAAATAAAAGATAATCTTTGATAAAAGTAAATCAAAATAAATTTTAATATAATTATTAGACTAATAGTGAATCTTATTTCGTTTTTATTAAAATTATCCAAATAGCAAATATTTAGTTTTCAAAACAAATGTGCTGTTCTAAAAATTTCTATCTAAAATTCTAACATTAGATACATATCAATACATTAATTTTTTCTTTGATAAAAAGATATAATTTTATCTCGCGGTAAAATTTAATATAATTATGATTATTTAAAAAAATAACTTTTATAGAAAATAAACAAATCCATATTAAGTATCTTATAATTTATATATCTAATGATGCTTTTCAATAAACAAATTTAATAAATCATTAAATAAAAATATTTGTTATAAAGTATATATAATGATAATAAAAATTACACTATTAAGTCTTACAGAATTTAATAAATATATGCTTTATTAAGTTCAGTGAAAGTTTCAGGATCTTAAAATGAATGATAAAAAATTGATAAAAAAAGAATATGAAATATTATAGATTAATAGAAAATAAAATAATATTAATATTATTATTTTTATTACAATCTAATAACATATTATCATTATTAAGCGAAAATAATCCCAGATATTTAAATATAACAAGAAAAATAAATAATTTATAAATTATTTTAATTAGTAAAATTTTTCTTCTTGAAGATAAAAAAAATTTCTTTAAATTAATTATAAATGAATTATAAATGAATTATAAATGAATTACATTTTTAAAATAATTTAAAAAAAATATTAATGAAATTAATACATATATAATAAATACATCAATATTTTCATATTATTTATATATTCAATCTTTACATTTATTTCATAATGTTTTTTGAAAATTTTGCAAAAAAAATATATTATATATCATGATATGATTAAAAAGATTTGATTAAAAAGATTTTTAGTATATTTTTTAGTATTTTTTCACATTTTCTACAAGTAATAATAGTATAGATTGACATGAAACACTTCTCTTGCATATTTGATCTTTGCAGATTGTCTTTTTAAAAAGATATTGGATGCATATACACATTCTTCACAAAAAATATTACCTATAATTATACTATCGATTTTCAAATCTTGCACACTCGAATTTGTTACTATAATATGTAAAATTACTTAATATGTATTGTATTGTTACTATAAAACTAAAATTTACCCTAATTTTTCGTGCCATTGTAACACATTTCCACATTTGCCTCTGTCACAAGTACCAATATGAAATTTAATTTATATAATTTTATTAAGTTTTTTCATTAAGTTTATTTCCCTTAACAATTAATTTATTGTTTTTATAGAAATATATCCAATTTCAAAAATATTTCATTCCGTTAATATTTAGTTCCATATTTATCGTTTCAACATCGTTTCTTTACACACAATGTATTCTTACAATGTATTGCCATCGCCTATGTGAATGTATGTATATACATTTTCATTGTTTCATTCTATATACATTTTCTTTGTTTTTAAATTATTGTTTTTTGAAAGATATCGACTAAATCGACAACCATGTATCTTCATCTTTCATTTGTAGAAAATTCTCTACATTAAATAATTTAACTGAATCAGAAAACAGAATATTTAATATTTTTACTTTTTTTTTTTTTTTCATTCTTTTGAGATAAGAATTGTTTTTTCATATATACCTTTTTCCATATTATATAATCACGAGCTCAATATAGAGTTTTCTATAGAAATGACATTTATTATTTCTTTTTATATTTTTATCAGGGCCAGAGAATCATAAGAATTATAGCAAATATGATTCTTTTCGATAGTCCTCTCGCATAGTATGCTTCTTCCATTTCTTTACAGGATATTTGTATATTTTGCATTTTTAACGTTATTTTTTCATTTATGTTAAATGATCTATCAATTCTTCAAAATTGTCATCTATTCATTTATTCGTGATAAATCAGATTGTGTGAACATAATTATATTTTATTGTTAAACTTGATAAAATTTTTGCAATGATAACAGGATCTTTTTGTTTCATATTTTTAAATTTTTGTACCAGCGAAATTTTTGCATTTATAAATTGATCCAAAAATATTGTACTGGTTGATCACTTTTCCTAGCGTATATAATACTCAATCTTACTCATATCTGTAGAAATAGAACAATCCGATAAATATCTTAATTAATCTAATTCAATATCTCTCATCGAAAATGTTTGAATTTCAGTATTCTTTTAAATTTGTGACAATCTTGGAATGGCATGAAAGAGACATTAATTAAATGTGTGTGAAAATATGGTATCAAAATAGCTAAAATTTCACACATTCACTTGTAATGTGAACATTTCAAATTTTATTCGCAATTGTGTTTCGAATTCTATCTTTTTCAAATTTATAAAGTTTCGATAAAAAAAATACATATTTATGTATAATTATTTTTTTCTATCTGAAATTTATTTTTTATTTGATTTTACTACCATTTGAAAAACTAGAGTCATGTTTCAATATTATTGTTGTATATGTTGTATATGTTTTCAATTGATTAATAATAAGAAAAGATTATCATTCTTAAATAGGAAGACAAAGATAATAAACTGCATTTAAAATGATATGATACAAGTTATTTTTGTTATGAAATATTGATATTTAATTTTAAGTATGTCAATATTAAAATGCATTACGAATTAAAAAATAATTTATAAAAAATATAATAATAATTTATAAATTGAATTACAAAAAGATACATTTAATATTTTGTTATATTATTAAAACTATATTTAATATATGCAATTTGATAAATAAAGTATAATATAAGAATTAAATATAAGACTAAAATTCTATTTTTATACTGGAGATTTTTTTCTCTTTTAAAAATCAACTCCTTTGTTTCTTGGTTTAATTATAATTTTTTTTTAAATATTTAAATTATGGAATTCACTTTTTTAATAATGTCGAAAAAAGACACAAGTGATAATTAAAATAATAATAATCCTATAAATGGCAAGCTCTATAATTATAGAAAATATTTATAATATTGTGTTTAAGTGTGATTTATAATACGATTTGCAAATGTATTCGTAATTATAACATTAAATGATTTGAATTATAATACAATTTATAATTTTTCGTGTTATTGTTTCGTTCGTATGCTTATGAGTTATTCATTGCTTGCATAATTGTAGAATTATAAATTTATTGTTCATACATATCATCACTCAATACAATATGTTCATTTAAAATGATATTAAACTTAATAAACAAAAATATCGGCTTATTTATTATATATAAAATTTTAATTTTTGTTAGATGAAGTAAGGCGGAGACAATATGAGATAAAAATAAAAACAAAAAAGAAAATTTAAATTGCTAATAATTTAATAAATAAATTTCAAACATTTTTATATATCATCTTTTATGTTTTGAATCTTTAGAATCTTAGAAATATAACCTTTAGAATCTTAGAAATATAATAAATTTATATAAGAGAGAATATAATAAATGTATATATTAGAATTACAATAAGTATTATAAATTTATTACATTTATTAAATCATTAGATGTGAGTAATTAGTTTCAACTTCTTTATCTTATATTTTTTTTGAGTAGGTTTACATTACATAGATCAATATATGCATTATATAGAAAGACTTTCAGCCATCTTAGGCTTTACTATCACAATACCATATATTAAAAGCTTATTTAAAATAGAATTTCTTATTATTAAACTAGAACATTGGTGCTAGATATAAATTTTGAACTCGGAAATTTTAGCTATTTTGATACCATATTTTCACACACATTTAATTGATTTCGTTCATGCCATTCTAAAATTGTCATGGTTTGTCATTTAAACACAAATTTAGAGTAAGAATCGCTTTCTTTAAATATATGAAAAGAAAAACATGAAAAACTTTTTTTTTGGGAGTGGGAAAAAGGCAAAGTAATAAGCAAAAAAAAAAAATAAATAAATAAAAGAATCAATATCACATTCGGACTTAGAAATCAATTGCAAAGATTTGTTAAATAATTTGTTAAATAAATCAAGTACAATTTTGAATTTTTAATGCAACTTTATTTTTGATCTAAACCCATTCTGCAATAATAAACGATAATAATAAATGTCAATAATGATTTTATTTTAATTACAACACTATTTTTATTTCAAGGAATTAATAACATCTATTCTTCAAATGATAAATGACCAATCAAAATTCAATTCTTGTCCTAACATTCACAATGAGTCGGTAAAATCAAATTCATCGAGTTAAAAAAACCTATCAAATTCTATTTTTTTCACATCACTGTTTTTCACATCACTGTTTTTTTCACATCGTTGTTTTTTCACACAACGAATATCAAATCATTTTTTCCCCAGCAATCTCATTATTGTTTTCTTATCACTTTCTCTTATAAATGATTATAATAATAAATCATTCATCAATCTTCAAAGATTTTGTTTAAAGAGTTCAGTTTGAAATTGACGACGAAGTTATTTGTACCAATACAACCGAATAAGTGATTATAGTACCAAAAAACTGAAAAAGAAATTTTTAAGTAATTAATTAAGTTATATACTCATTTAACTCACCATTGTTAAAAATTTATTGTTAAGAATATAACCACCAGCAGTAAATTTTAAAGGATGAAGATGAAGTTGTAATAAAAATTGTTGCACCTGAAATTATTGTTATTATTAATTTTAATTCTTTAAAAGTTTATGGTAACTTCAAACTCCAAATGAAAATCATTTGTATTTGATATGTTTTTCGAAAAAGAAAAAGTCTGAAAAAATTTATATAGCATCCTCTAATATTTTAAATAAAAAAAAACTTTCAAATAAAATTAACAATAATATAAACTAAATAAAATCAAATAGAAAAAGTAATTTGTCTGAATATAGAATTATTTAGCACACAAATATATAAACTACAAATATATAAACTATAAATCTGACAATTTCAAAAATGTTTGAATATAAATCTTTTTATAGAGTAATATAAGATTAAAAAGGAATTCTAAATATGTAGAATATAATACATAAGTATGTAGAATATGTTCGCGTTTGCAACAATAGTTGTTAAGGACAGACCCAAGACTTATGAAGCGGTCGGATAACTTGGCTTTTGCTTTTAATAGCTCAAGTATTTTCAATAACCTAACAATAATATATAAGCAGCTATAGTTTTCTAACGTTTTTCAGATTTTTATTTTAAATAAAATTTAAACACCAGCAGTCGCTTCACAAATCACACTTCCATGTCTTACAACGAATGTCTTGCGATAGATGTTAACAACAAATGGTATATATTAAGTAGTATATTTCTTAAAAATGAATGGACTAAATATTACGTTCGGGGCGTTTATTTATAAGAGAGGAACAATGTTTCTTACAATGTTATAGCAGGTAACCGTGTCCGATAGTCAGAGTACGATGTGTTCATAAATTATCTAATTATTGTATTCGGCAATTAGATTATGATGTGTTCGTCTTGAGAATCTCTTCACTATTGAAATCTTGTGACCTTAGAAAATTTCTTCTTAGTTCAATTTGAAGAATTTTTCGATGAGATACGCTAATAAACAATAATATCACGGTTAATGCCTGAGTCCCGACATTCCCAAGTTAGAAGTAAATTCCTCAAACTAGAATGCTTTTTGTTCTTGTTAACCGTATATAGATATATCATCTTTCAGATCCGATTCTTCTTCAATCAGGCTAAAGTATGTCAAACATATACAATTATAATTATCGACTAAACTCTTAAAAATGACAATATTTTCAAATAACATCATCCTTTATTTAGACTTAATATATATAATAGATCTGCGAACAATAATAACAGAAAAGGATTTTTATGAAGAATTTCTCCAAAAGCTATTTATAAATCTCATAAGCAATAAGTGCTTGTGAACAATTTTTATTATAAAAATGTGGAATTTTTAGACTATGAATTCTAAATATCAAAATAATGAAAAAATTTCTGTATACATATATCTAATAAAACATTGTTTGTTAATAAATTATAAGCATTTTAAGTATGCGTTAAATAAAATGAAATGATATAACAATAGAATTAAAAAATATTTAAAGTATCGCTTTTGTAGCAGTTTCTCAATGAGTAATAATCTTATTTTTTTTTAAATATTCTCAATTAATAAAATTATTATGTAATACATAATATATAATATCATATATACAATTATAGAATTATCATGTATAACTGTTATTTAAGAAAATTGTATCTCGAAAAAGTTACAACAAATTTTAGAATATTCGGTATTATATAATAATTTATTATATTTATATATTTAATAAAATTTATAGATAAATCGTGTAAATTAATATTAAATTCATACGTTATATGACATTTAATGTGTCTCAATTTATCGAAATCTATGGGAATAATTCACAAGATCAATTTAAATAATAAATTCGAATTAATAAATAATTAAATCAGTGAGTTAATTTGAAAGTAAAGCATAAAACTTTTTATTTTAAGTAAATATAAATATTTTAAATAAGAATTATGATGAAAAAAATTTAAATTTGCTTTCGTTATATTTAACAAATGTGAATATAAATAATAATATTTTTTACAACAACTGTATAATGAGAGTTAAATATGTTAACTGTTAAATATATGAGAAAATAATAATAAAATATAAATTTATTCATAATAATTCAAAATAAATGTAGAAACAAACACATTCTTTAATAAAAATGATATGTATTCATTTTTTCATTATAAACAATAAAAAAAATTTATAAACTTTGTAAATGTATTAAGTAATTAAAATAAAATTTCGAATCAAAAAACATTAACGAGTAAATATTTATTGTAATATTAATAAATTTAATTAAATGTAAAAAATAAAAAAAAATTAAATTTTGAATATGTTCATTTCATTTATAAAAAAATATCCATAGTAAATATATTTTAGTATTCTTTTTTTTTAAATATATTTTAATATATTTTTTTTAACAATTATTATTATTGAAACAATGAATTGATATAATAATTCGATTGAAAGTTTACGGATTATGATGATTGTAAATTTAAATTTATTATAAATTTAAATTTTAAGATATTTACAAAAAATTATTGCTTTTATTATATTTGCAGCTATGCATTTATAATAGTGCATTCATGGCAACATATATGTATATTAGTATATGATCGCTTCTTATTTATTATCTTTATAAATACAGAATGAGGCATTATGTTCACCTGGAATATTACTGTTATTTATAGTAATATGAAAAAACTGCACTATATAGAGGGGATATATTGTGATACAAACATTTTTTGCGTGAATGAAGACATAGAGAAGATTCTAAGGTCATCTCTATTTTTTAAATTAAATATTATGTTTTTTTTATCGTGATATAATAGCCGAGAAGACTTTAGTAAGTATTAATCATTAAAGATCATGCAAAGTCAAATAGTAATAAAACAAACTTTCTTATGTTACAGGATGTTCGTGAATACTTATTACTCATGAGATTTATAACAGTTTATTCAGAGAAATTTTTTATATAAAAAATTTTTTCTCTTACTATCGTACTCAAGCTTCTATTAAGCCTAAACGAAGAAGTATCTGAGAAGACTATCTTGAGAATTTAACTGAATTACTTATAATTGTATACTTTAGACGAGCTGAATCGATCCTAATCAATCATCCAATGTGATATTCCAGCGGTTGATTCAAAGACAAATAATATTGTTCGAGAAATATAAGATGCGTCGATCTGTTTCTGTTTATCATGAGATCATTGTATATAGATCATTATCTGAGGAATTTTCTTGAACTTGGGCGATATTGCAAATCGGACACTGGCCACAATATTATTCGTTATCAGCGAACAGTTTATCTGTTCCACAGAGAAACTGTATAATAACATTTACATTATATTTTATTATAAACATGGACAACCGAAATTATAATAATCAAAATTATGATGAATTTACAATCATAACGATATTGACATCATATTTAATAACTATTTTTGTAATTATTCATTGCAATTTCGTTTTTCCAAATATTGAAACATTATATTTATTTTGTATCTGAAAAATTATCAAAACGTTTAAGTTCTATATGAATAAATATTAAAATTTTAAGAGAGATGATACTTAATAGATGATACATTTTATATGCCAGCAATTTTTATGTATTTATATAAATAATTAAAATAAATAGTAACAACATATTGAAACACGTTATTATAGAAATATAATTATTATGGAAATATAGTTATATTTATTATATAATTTTAAATTTTCCTAAAAAAAACATTTTATATACAATAAATTTACGTGAATATAAAAATTTAATATCTTTTTTCAAGATAATAATATATTTATAATCTATGATTATTATGATCTGAAAATTATGTTCAAATTCAATTTTAGTCACTTTTTTTAATAAATTTCTATCGATCTGAAGATGAAAAATTATTATCTCAAAATTGAATCATAATTTTTTATAGCTTTTATAAATAGAATTCAATAATATAGTAGTCAAAAGTTTTTTAAGAATAATTAAAAATTAAAATTATTTATAGATAACATAAAAAAAATTTCAAGATAATAATCTTTGAAATATATTTTAAAATCAGAAAAATCAGTAAAGAAAAAGTACATAAAAAGTTAATCTTTACTAAAGATAAATCAAAATAAATTTTGATTTAATTATTACATTAATAATGGATCTTACCTCATTTCTAATAGAATTATCCAAATAGCAAATATCTAGATCTCGAAGCAAATGTGCTGTTACTTCTACCTATAAAATTCTAACATTATATGCATACTAATATATTAATTCTTTAATGTATTAATATATAATGTAAGAAGATACAATCTTACCTCATGATAAAATTTAGTACAATGATTATTTAAAAAAATAACTTTTATAGAAAATAAAGAAATCCATATTAAATATTTTATAGTTTGTATATCTGATAATAGTTCAAATAAAGTTAATGACATTAAATAAAGATACATGTTGTAAAATGTACTCAGTAATAATAAAAATTGCACTATTAAATCTAATAGAATTTGATAAGTACATGTTTTATTAAGTTCACATGAAAGTTTCAGGATTTCAAAATGAATGTACCTTTAATTAAATAAAAGAGAAAAAAAAATAGATTAATGACAAATGAAGTATCATAATGACAAAAGAATATTATCATTTTTATTATAATCAAATAACTTATGTCATTAATAAGAAAAAATGAGATAGCTTTAGATATTTAAATATAACACAAAAAACATAAATAATCTATAAATTTTTGTAAAATTTCTCTTTTTGAAGAATAAAACTTCCTGATTAATTGTAAATGAATTGCATTTTTTAAATAATTTTTTTTAAAAAAGATTAATAAAATTAAAAAAATATTTTTACATATCAGATAAATAACCTCAGACATAATTTTCAAAAATTTTCCATATATTCACATATACTCAAAAATATCATACATTTATATTAATTTGACATATCAATATTAGTATTTATATATCTAATCATCACATTTATTTTATAATATTTTTCGATTTCATAAAATTTAAAAAAAAATGTGTTATAATATCTTACGATATTTGTTTTGATTAAAAAGATTTTTAATATCTTATTTTCTCACATTTTTTACATGTAACGAAAACCTCTTTTATGAAAAATTCATTTTCAAGTGAGGGAAAAAGTGTGGAAGTGTGGAAGTCTGGGAAAAATGTTTTTTATGTTCTTTACAATTAAAAAATATTTTTTAGATAATATTAAATAAAAATGATAACAATTTAATTGAATGCGTTGTATGTTAAAACTATTAGCTTAAAAGAAGATTCTATTGTAGGAATTATTCAAAGAAAACTGTTCAAAAATAAAAAACTTATCGATAGATTTTGACTCTTGAATTATTTTTATTTCACTTATAGGAACAGCTAAAAATCTTAATATCGCTAAATATTTTACGATTCAAAAAGCAAATCCATTTCTTTCTATTAAGTCTAATTTAATAAATCTTTAACAATATTTTTAATTTTAATCTATGTTTTGTAATATTTGAGTCCAAATATATCCGATTGACTTTATCAATTTTTTTAAACATTAGTTTAAAAAAATATATAAGTATAATATAATAAGATTAATTTAAGAAAGTTAATTTTAAAATATGTTAATAATCTTAAAATATATTATTATATATAATCTTAAGATATATTGTAGCAAAATCAATAAAATATATATTAAATATATTTAATAATAAACATTAAAGTAAATATGAAATTTGATGTCAATAATGAGAAAATGAGAAAAATTGATTATATCAAATTCGTTTGATATAAATATTGCTACTGATTTGCAATTGTTTATAAAATATTTAAGATATCTGAAACTATCATTTGAGGTTATTTGCTTTTTTCTTATATTAATAATTTTACAAAATGTACTATTAATGTATTAATTATACTAAAATAATTTAATAACAATATACTAATAATATTAAAATATTAGAAAATTCTACACATTGCTTTAAAAATATTAAATATTAAATACCTTGTAACTTGAAGAAAATGTTGTACAAAACGTTTTCTATTATAATAATCCATTACAATTATGCATTTATGTACAATAAATGACTGTATCTTATATTTTATATTAATATCATTTGTATTTGATAATTGATATATCTCTTTCATAACTTTATTCATCTTATGCAACTTGTCCTGTAAAATACTTAAAAAAAATTCAAATAATATGATTTTGGAAAAAATACTATGACAATACTATGATTAACATTATAGACTATATTTTTATACATAATTTTTACAAAAATGAAATAATGTTTTAAATATATTAAATATAATAAATAATTCTTATATATTTCTATAATATGATGCAGAAGAAAAATAAGAAAATGAAATGAGAAAACAAAATTTTGTTCTCATAAATCTAAAAAAAAAAAAATATTCTCTTGAAAAAATTCATTTTTCACTCTACAATACTCTATGCGAAAATGTGAACTCAATATATAATTTTAATTTTATTTTTAATTATTTATGATCAAGCGATCGCAAACATTTGTAATTAAATAATTTATTTAATTTATATATTATTTATAATTTATATTATATATATATATATATATATGTAATATATGAGTCCAATCGAAATTATTTATTTTCAATTCGATTTGAGAAAGTATTTCTTTTAATCTATTAGTAAATTCTATATCAATAAAATTTTATTATAATTATAGTTTTAGTTCAAAGATTTTCCTATTCGATCTTAAATTTTTCTTCTATAATTGCTGTCACTAATACAATGGTAATTATAATTATAAAGCCATTGTATCGTTTGACTTTCATTATTTTGATAAATACTTATTTAAGAAAAAAAAGCAATCATCATATTAAAATTTTATTTAATTTTTAAATATATATAATATTAATATCCATGGAAAATTTTAAAAAAAATTTCATAATATATTATTAGTATTAGCAATGTATATGTATTTTTTAAATAATTTCAGCATGTTTCTTTAACTATAATATTTATGATTAATTTCACTATTTATTTAATATTTAGAAAATCACAAATTCATGGTAAATTAAGAAACACGTTCACATTATTAGTTTAATTTTGAATAAGTCTGAATTTGTTCGTGTAAAATATTTTTATTATTATTTGAATGCAATGACAGAAATATTACTCAAAAAGATTTTTCTGTAATCTCTATTAAAATAGATTCTATAACTTCTTATAATTATTAATTTATAATATAACCTTTTCTTGCCAGAATAAAATGTATACTCAACAAATGTTATAAAACTATTTAATATCATTTATGATATTGACAGAAATTTTAACGAAGAAAACTATTTTTTGGAATAAATTTATTTTATTTAATGCAATTGATGCAATATCAAATTTTATGCTCATCATAAAAGTTAAAGAATTTTTTTTTAAATTGAATTTTAAACTTTAATTCATTGTCATGATAAAATTCTATAAAATTCAAAAAATAATTTTGAAACCATTAAAAATTTAATGTTATATTCTGGCAAAAAAATTTATGGTTAGAAGAAGTATATAAAGATTAATCATAATTTAAAACTTAGAAAAATATATAAATAAAATTCACTTGAATAATTGCGGAAGAAAACCTGAATATCTAATTACTAATGTTTATAGTTGCTTGATCAAAAGTCAAGAATAGAACAAAAATAAAAGAAAATTGATAAAACATTAAATACAAGGATATTAAATATAGATTAATTTTACTATAAATATAACTCTAAAATATAATTCTAAGAGAACATTTTTTTTTACAAAAAAAATTTTCCTTCCTATATTTTCTTATATTTTTTATGTATCATATTATAAAAATATATATAAATCTTTCAATTTTTCAATTTGTTCCATTTTTGTAAAAAACATAAAATATAGATGAATTTATAATTTTTTAACAGTATTATATATAAAAAATAAATATAAAAAAAATTATAATATAATTTTGAATCAGTGATATAAATGCAAAAATGATCTTAATTTTAAGATTTAATGTCAATTTTTTTCTTATTTGATTATATTCTATTTATTGCAAACATAAAAAGTTTCAAAAGAAGTATTTAATGTATTGTTCTATTAAAAAAAAAAAAAAAATATTAAATTTTCATTTCGAAATAATTTTATCTATAATTTGTTTATATTTTTTAATTTGTAAAAAAAATAACATTTATTGTGTCACATAGATAGCTCAGATTTACCATTATTATATCCATTATTATATTTATTATTATATTACCATTATTATCTATAGTGTAAAGTGCTAAACGACACGACATGATAATCAAAACTTGAAAGTTTCCATGATGATATTAACAAGCCAATACTCTCTTTTATCTGGAATGAAAATGTGCAAAGAAAAAAGAAAAATAAATATATACGAAAATATAGATATACGAAAAAAGATACTGGTCATATATCTTATTTATGGAAAAATTTGTTTCATGATTTAATTTTCAGAGAAGACTTTATTATTTTTTGTAATTCTATGATTCTGTGCTTGTTTATTCTTTTCTATTTTCGACAAATTTTTTACAATATTTTTTTTTTTTTCTTTTCTTTTTTCTCGTTATATAAATATCATCAAATTTGCATTTCTAAAAGTCTTTATATAGTTGAAATATATGTATATATCAAGCAAAAAGTAAGTTAATAATTCATTTTCAATTGAACTTAAAAGGGCTTTCTGAATACATGAATCCTCATTTAAGAAGAGTCTAATTAATGCTCATTGTAAACACATCGTATTCAGATCGTTGAAGAGATCAGTTTTCTTGTAACATCGTATTCTACCGTCGAACATGATTATTTATTGTGACATTGTAAAGAATATTTAATTAATACTTTTGTATTCTGTCAGATACGATAAATAGATACTTTCTTTATAATTATGTATCGTGCTTTACTCGTCGGACAATCATCACATACAATCATCTATTGTAATATTATGAGAAACCCAGTTTTCATATGTGTACCGCACTTATCTACTAATACAATCTACTTATCGTTAAAAAATACATCATGGTTACAAGCAATCAATTTGTGCATTCAAATATATACCTTAGTAAAAAAAACATTCGACACAAAACATGCATCTTCTATCCATTAACAACATTATTTCGTGGACGCGAATAAAAATAGAAAAGAAAAAAAGAAAGATATAGTATATATATGATAGCAAATCTAGGGCATTTAAATATATATTACAATGAATGCTATTTTTCTTGCAATTAACTGAAAAATGTATGCAAATTATGAATAAAATGAATTCCAAAAATAATGAGATTTTTGTCATTTTTTCAAGGAAACAGTTGAATTATGGTTTGTGATTTCTTTAAGATTTTATATCCTTACGATAAATAGAATATGATTGTAATAAAAAAAATTTAACTTTTGAATTGAACTTCGTTCGAATTATTTATAGATCTTCAAAGATATAATACTTTTTATATTTACATTTACTATATATCTACATGTACAAGTTTGAGAAAAAAAATAAAATAGTAAAAATTAATTTATAATATTAACATTAATAGAGAACATTAGTGAAGTTGTTTATGAAAATTAATATTTTCTAATTTTCGAATATTATTTTTTCAAATTATGTAATACGATATTAACTGTTAATTGATAATATTATAATTTATATTATAATAACTATAATTTAAATAAAATTCAGAAATACATCATTACAGATTTTTAATTCTGAAGAAATCAAGAAATTTTGGCCATAAATTTAGAAATATATTTGTTTTTTTATTCAATTTGTTTTTATATTCGGTTTATGAGCATTTTTCTGTTTGTATAACTTACCTCACAAATATGGTGAAAGTAAAAATCCCTAAAGACATAGTTGTTATTGATATATAAGATATAACAAAAAGTAAATCAAATTTTTGTTCAATAATGTACCAATTTAATAAGATAATACTTATTATTATTGCGCTAAACATAATTAATTTTTGTGCAATTTGGAAAAAAACTTTTTCATAATTTTTCTCAATTCCAAATGATTTTAAAGTATTGTCTATTTGTTCACATCTTGCTATGATTTTTCTTGAACACTACAATGGAAAAAAAAAGTATAAAAAATATAACTATATTTGAAAAATATAAAAAATTATTATGTAAAATATTAATTAATTTGTAGATTTGTTTTTGATATTAAAAGTCAAAACAAATATAAAAGTTGATGTGCAAAAATGTTGATTTAATTTAGAAGCAATTTAATTAAGAAATAAAGCGAAATAGAAAAAAAATGAGATTTTCTTATGGCAGATAAAAAATGAGTTTCAATTTGTATCTTACTTCATTTAAACCTAATTTGAAATACTAAAATTTAATAAATAAATCTCCGACATTCTTATATATTAATTTTTGGGTTTGTTTTAAAGCTAATTATATGGGAAAAAATGGGATTAGAAAGCCAAGCGGTTATTCATAGGAAAAAATTATTTTAAATTTTGACTTTTACAATATATTCAAAAATTATCAAAATCGGTAAGAAAGAAAATCTCATTTTTTAATCTCATTTTTTTTCATAATTCATTATTGTATTCTAAGTAATATTGATATTTTCAAAACATAATAATGTCAGTATATTATTCTATGCTTTATAATTGAAATTTGTTTAAAAATATTTTTTTACATTATTATATTATGATATATATATAAGATGATTCTCTTATTAGAAAGTTCAATTAAATTGATACAGTATTAATATATCTGCTAAAGAGGATATTAAATTGCATGATATTGAAATTTTAAGAAACATTATTTCTATCTTTCTAATTCTCATCATTTTACTACTCTTCATTTTATGCTGAATAAGACACAAACATATGATAAATTTTTATGGGAAAATTTTTGAATCATTCTGAATCATAAGTTATCATATAAGTCATAAATCTTATGATTCATTTTCCACTTGCTGTTCGGAAATAATTTTTTTTCTATAATTATCTTCATTCATTATATTTGCAAATCTAATTGAAAAATTAGATGCGATAATTGTCAAAAATATGAAATACTATTATTATATATCTATATAATTATATTATATGAATTGCAAATAAAATATATAAAATTCATGAATTTGAATATTTAATACAACTTGTACAATTTGAAAATTTCTATAAAAATTATAGAATATATTACTAAAATACTTTTATAAAAATATTTTAAATATATTTTTATCCGAAAAATTCAAATATTGATTATTACAAATTAAATTTAAATTAACTTCATCAAATATTAATAATAAAAAAAAGTTATAATAAAATAACATAAATGATCACCATATTTGTTATCAATTATTAACTTTCATTTCGGTCATAAGTCTATTTTATTTATTAATTAAGAATTGTTTTATATTTTCTCAATTTTTCGAAAATTAAAACTGAGAGATGATTATAAGATCAGGAAAACATTCAAAATGTTATTTTCTATGACAAAAATAATTAAAATTGGCAAGAAAGCTTCTTTTCTGGATAATTTCAAAAGAATTGTATAATTTTTTAAAAATCATTATAAACGGGAGATTTTTTTAAACAAAAATTATTTATTATATTATAAATAAATTCCGAAAAAAATTTAAAACTTCACAGAGTTTGAAATTTCATTTAAAAGAGATTATTGAAAAAATTAAGATTAAGAATATAAAAGTAAAAGCTTCATTCTCTAAAATAATCTTAGACTAATACAATTTTTTTATTGATATATAATAGTTTAAATATTAGTAACATTAAGAAAAAATTTAATATTTTTCTAATTTTAAATGCTGATATAAACAAAATAATTTTATAATAAAATTGTAATTGAAGCAATTGAATTAAAACATGATATTCATAATTTTTCATGAAATGTAGAATGTTCAATAATAACATTTAAAAATAAAAAATTAGTAGATATTAATTATAAAGTACAATATTTTTAAACTTTCTCGTTGTTATATTTTATATTATTGAAATTAAATTAGTGTTAATGTGTTAATATAATAATTTATAATTATAATTAAATTAACTACAATTAGTATTTATTATAATATTTTCAGATCAATTTAGGCAAGTGATTTTTGCAAATCTATTTATAAATGAAAGAGGAGAAGTATACAAATATATTTGATATTTTAAGATTTTATTTATAAAAATTAGTAAAATTACTATTAGTAATATTTACTTACTAATTAAATTACTAATTAGTAATACTTACTTCTGTATTTAGCATTCCAAGAATTATAAAAATCATGACACATATAAAGTTGATGTATGAAGCCATTTTAAAACTGACTTCTTGATATACAGACCAATTTTTATAATTTACATTAATTACTATATTCAGAAATATAGTATATAAAATAATGCATATGCACCCATATATTATACTCCAACCATATTGTAATCGTCCTTTCAATTCAAATGTACGTAGACCAAATATCTCATTAAGGATAATGATATGTATTAACGAAGTATATTGGCTTTTTGGTGTCCATAGTAAGATTTTTGTTCTAAATGCTTTTATTATTGTCACTAGAAATATAATACATAATAGAATTCTGATAAGTAAATCTTTGACAAATAATAATTGCTAGAGATTTTTTAAATAAAATTATATAATAATATAATTATATAAATTATAGTTTTATAAAAATAATAATATAATTATATAAATTATATTTTTATAAAAATAATTATATAATATATAAATTTACATTATTTTATAATATATTTTTATTTTATAATAATTTTAAAATTGTATAGTATAATTAAATCAAATAATAAAAAATTATAATAATAAAATAATAATAATATAATAATAAAATAATAAAAATTTTTTGGAACAGATTTTTATAAACATTCCAAATGTAAATATAACTTTAAAAGCATTTAATATTATATTTTAAAATTTGTATAATTAAATTTTTTCTTAAATTGTATTAATTGTGATATAATATATATAAATAAATATAAAAGTAAAGGAAAATTTCAGATAAATGTCTGAAATTATAAGTGAAATAAATCTTTTTATATAGATACATAGAAATATATAAAAAATAGAAATAATATTTCTCTGTTATTATCGAAAAAGTTCGTTTTTATATAAAACTTCGTTTTTACATAAAAAGAAATTCTAGATGTACATATTAATATTCACTTACCTTTCATATTTTTTTTTAATTTTGTTCATTTAAATAATTATACTTATTTATTTATAAAAATAATAAAAATATATTTATTTATTCTAATCAAAATTCACTTCTTTTATTTATTTATTTATTTATTTTATTAATTATCAATTTCTTTTTTTTTTTATGTTCTTCTAAATTGCCACATTATTGTAAATTATAATATGAATTTATCTATTTGTCTATATTTATATCTATATCTTATAACTTATTATATTTGTATATAATAAAAAAATAATAAAAATATAATAAAAATATATATATATTTGTATATATATATATATAATATATAATATAATTTTTTTCACATCTCACGAAAGCGATTACTAATGGAATTAAAAATAATTGTTATATTTTCTGAAATTATATTTATAATTATAAGATTTTAAATGATTTTTCTTTCAAAACTAATTGAAGATCGCACATATCATTTTAGTTATAGATAAAAATACAAATTAAAATGAAGAATGCAATTTTTTTTTAAGAAAATATTAACTTCGATCTCATTTTCTTTCAGATCAATTTTTAACAAGTAATCATTTATATGTGTTTTATTATTAGATTAATAAGAATTAGAATATTTCTTTCTAGAAGTTTTTCATTAGAAATGTTATGCATTAAGATAAAATCTATGTCTTTTCTTTTTCAGTCTATGACAAATGTTTTTCGTATATTTCGATACTTCAATATTTCAATAATGTTTTAGACAAAAAATTATAAATTGTGATTTATTAAATATTTGCTGACTTTCTAATTTCTAGTTTTTTTTATTTTGTTAAATATATTCATTTATATCGAAAAAATTGTACTATTCATAATGTTTTATTTTATAATATTATATCTTTTTTTAGTTAATTTTAGTTTTTAGTAATATTATAGCTTTTATAATTTATAATTTTTTTTTTATTTTAATTATAGCTATATAATTATTTTTATTATAGCTTTTATAATTTATAATTTTTTTTTTGATAAAAACTTTTGTTGTTTTTTATAAAAGTTTTTTTCTTCATGAAGATTTTCTGCAAGAGCTTCATTTTATAAGAAAAATCGTGATTATTGATAATCACTATTTTTTTAGTTTATATCTATTTCTTTTTTTTTTTTTTTTTTTCTTTTTTTTTTTTTTTTTTTTTTTTTCGTATATTTCATATTTAAGTTTAGAGACGAGATTTATTCTAAAATATTTTATATAGTTGAAATAATATTGTATTATTGTTATATTAATATTTTGCCAATAGATTATATAATATTATATGTATTAATATATAATATTAATATGTATTATTATATAATATTTGATCAATAGATTTTTTTTCTTTCTTATTTTATATGTTTTAATCTCGTTGTGTGCTTTTCAATAAAAATATTGTTTAAACATTTTTCTTGATTTGTAATTGAATCGATTGATAGATTAATGAATAATATAATGTTATGTAATCAGATTTTATCCTTTCCAATGTAGTCTGTAAGAATTATTAACAATCATGATTTAGAATTTCATTGATTTATCACAATTTTTGAAATATTCTTCATCATATGTTTGCTAATGGATTAATTTCATTAGTGAATATTAATAACATATTTTTTGATTATAAATTTATCGAAATCATAAATGTAATTCAGACATATATAATATAGATTATTGCTTTATTTAAAAAATAATATTTTTTAAGTAATATCGTTTTATTTGCTCTAAAATGATTAAAAAAAGAAAATAGAATCAATTTTAAAATTTAAAGATATTAAAAATAATAAATAGACATAGACATTAAAAAATAATAAATATTTATGATAGATATTTCATTGTGGTAAAAATTAAAAAAGATCTTACATAAAATGTTTAGATGTTAGTTACCAGACACAATGCAAAACTCAAATTATGTAAAGAATATTTAAGAATTACTATAATAGACAAGTAAAAAATAGAAAAAACAATGGAATTATAGCAAGAAAGAAAAGAAATATTGAATTTGAAATATTTATAACCACTAATAAAACATGATTATCATCCATTATCGATAAAGATATATATTTAAATTTGATATGAATTCTTAAAAACAATATATGGAATATTAAAAGAATATTATACAAGAATGTTGTTTAATATAATTAGTAAAAAATAAATCAGCTATGCTAAATTAACAGTAATAGAAAATAATAAATATTTATATAATATTTAAAATAATTTAATTTAAAAAGAACTAAAAATATGGAAATTAGAACTTAGAACTTTAAATTCCAGCAAAATAACGTTGTAAGTATATATAAAATGTAAATTATATAAAAATATTTTTTCAATTATATACAAATATTATAACTTTCTCTCTCTAATCCTTGCATTTAAATTAAATTTTTCAATTTTTATAAAGAACTTGATTTTAAAAATTATAAAATACTACTAATAAAAATAATATTAATGAGTAATAAAAAATTAATATTAATTATTTTCGAAAAATAATGTGACATATCAAGCATACTCAAGATAGCGTGACGGATGTAGAATATCTTACTCAATTTTCATCTCGCTTTATCTAATACATATTAGTTATAACTTAATGAATGAATTTTTTTTATAGAATAACTTTTAATATTAACACAAATCATTTTATATCATATCATATACGCAAACGAAATGCAAATTTTTGATATTCACTTTATATTGAATGTGAAAAATATTATTTTCGTATTTTCGATCAATTCATGTTTATTATTCGAACGTAAAAATATGCTTTTTTATACGGACCTGCCAATGAATTTTATTTTGTTCACATTTAAATAATTTTTGTTAATATTAGTAATATTAATACTAATTGAATTGAAAATCTTGAATTAATTTTCCTCGAACAATTTTTATTTTCCATATGATGCGGAAAATATTCACGATTTATATTGATAATAAAAATCGGTTTTAAAAAAGATTGATTACAGAATTTGTATTGATTTTTTGTTTTTCTTGGAGAATTCTTAAACTCTTGAAGTATTGAATAAGTCTTTTTTTTAACAATTTGTATAGTTCTATCTTATATAAATAAAATTATATGGATGTAATTATATTATATGTACATTAGTCACTGAAACTATGTTAAAAAAATATGTAATTTCGCTATTAAATTGATAATAAGTTGGACTTAATTTATTAAATAATAATATTTATTAATTTATAATTGGGCTTATATTTAAATTTAATATGTTAATGTAATTTAATATTTATTAACTGTGAATTAATAAGTAATTTGTATGTATTAGTTATATAAGAAAATTGTTCATTAATCATAAATTATATAAGAAATAAAATTACTATTAAACGGAAAAGTTAAAAATTTTTTTCATTTTCTTTAAAAAAGATATAATTTTAGAGGATTTTTTGCAAATTTTTAAATATTTTATTAATTATTCAACATATCTTGTAGAAGTATCATTGAACATTTTTCATATAAGATAATAGATTAATTTATATTTATGTTTCTGAATTCATATTTATATATCTTGGATTATTCATATTTATATTATATATTTATATTATATATTATATATATTTATATTATATATCATATTTATATTATATATTTTGGAATATCATAAACTAATAATACACTTTATTTTTTATTATAGTAGTTAAATGTTATAGGATTCATAACATTTAAAAGAAACACATATTTATAGTACAATTTACAATTTTTATTAATTTTATTCATACTATGAATACAAAATAAATTTTTAATTATTATGATTGTGCAAAAAAGCCGATAATTTAAGAAAAAATATAACTAATAATTTTCTAAGTATGTTTTCTTTTGTTCGTCTATTAAATATCTTTTCTTTTTAAATTTTTGATATTTAAAAATATTGTTACATTTTAAAAATATAAATGTAGAAATGATTCAAAGTAAAAAAAAAAATATAATTTAAAAATTAATTTTTAAAAACATAAGACATAATAATAAAATATTATCAAAAATATTTATCAACTTATTTCACAAAAATAAAACAACCATAAAAAAGTAATTAAAGTATTTTATCTATTAGAAAATAGATTGTAAAATGATTTGACCAAAAGTAATAGTAAGAAAGTATATATTTAATAAAGAAAAAATAGAAATAAATTATATTATATAAATCTGGGTCTTGTTTTATTATTCTGCCTTTATTCTACTATGCATAGTGTTACCGTTACGTTGCAGTTCAAAATAGAGGACAAAACAGAATCGAAACATATGATCGTATCCAGTGACATCCAATTCATGTATAAATATATAATATGAACACCTTTACATATATAAATTGAACATTATTAATAATTTAATTCTATAAAAATTCTTAAGAATTTCATATATATA